TTTTAAAAAAAAGAAGAAGGTTGGGAAAAGAAGTTTTTAAAATTTCCGGGCTGAGCCCCAATTATTTTTTGGGAACCAACCGAAATCTTCCAAAAGTTTGGGATTCTTAAATTTTTTGGCGGGTGGTGTTTTGGGGTTTTTAGGGTGTGTTAGTTAATTTTGAAATAAAGAGACAAAATAGTTCAAGAAAGAAACTAGTTGGGAAAACTAAACAATTTATTAAGAATATAGGGAGTATTTACAGGGGGAATATTTAAAAAGAATAAAAGGGAAAAAGCAATTTCGAAGAATAGGAAAGTTAGATCACTTACTTAAAAGAAAATTGAGATTAAATAGAATTCATTAGGGTTTAAAGACTTTCCCGCCCGGGGACGAATGATAAAACCCTGTTATGGTTAAAGATTTACCGCCGGCGGGGAAAAGGTAGTGACCCCAAACACGACTTCCCGACGAATGTTAGTGGCCCCGGGGGGGGTTTCATGCGGTTTTAAAAAAAGGCCCAGATGGCGTTAGGGGGAATACGATTATTAGAATTGCGACCTCGGTAAATGTGTTTGACTAACTTCTTACAAATGGAATACCCTTTACATATACATATATATATATATATATATATATTAAAACAGTCGGCCCTTTTTAAAATAAGTCGCTAAACCCCGAAAAAGTTTTAAAAAGAATCTTTTAACATACTTTATAAACCACATAAAACAATTTTTAATTCATAAACACTATATATTAAAAGAAGAAATTGTTCACACCTTTTTAAAATTTAAAAAAAAAAAATATTTTTATTTTATATATCTTACCCATGAAAAAAAAAGGAATGCTAAGAATACACTATTTTCAGTATTTAACTATAATTTTATATTAAAATTAATGAATTTTAAGGACATTTTCTTTAATTTAAAGCACATAAGTAATATTAAACATACATTATTTTATAACTAGAACACGGAGACACGTGACAACTCCACTGAATGCGAAATAGGATATCGAAGATGTTTCTAGTGAACTGGGCAATGGGGGTTAAAGGTTGCCCTTTTTGGATGAAACATCCATAACTCTATTAATTGCTCTCGGCGAGTTAAGATCTAATAAATCCAGTTCAAGATTTATGATCACCATAAAATGTATTAAAGAGAGAATAACTAGAAATTTTTTTTCAGAAATGCTTAAAAAAAAAAAGGAACAAAAATTGAATCATAAAAGAAAAAGTTCGTTATATAGAAAATGCTCTTTACTATAGAGAGATTATTTTACGAAAAAAATCGTGAAATGTTCGAGGTTCCAAGTAAAAGTTCGCTATATAGAAAAATTCGCAATATAGAGGTTCCTTATATAAAGGTTCGACTGTGTTTTATATACCGTAACTATAAAAAAAAGAAGGAAAACTTTCGGAAACAAGAAAAAGAATATCGATGAATATACTGTATTTTCAACACTAAGAAAATAATTTTAAATTAAAATTAAATGAAATTTAAAGACATTTTCTAATTTAAAGCATACATTATTTTATAACTAGATATTCTACAAATACATTAGCTCATGCATCCTTAAATTTAATTACTCATAAAATCTGTTAATTTTGCTTGAGTTTTTTTTTTTGATTGAAAAAATGCTTTGTTTCATAATATACTCACATCTTTGTAATGCACCAAAACTTCCTTTATGACCACCATAAAATGTGCTAAAAGAGAGAATTGAAATGTCCAGAAACACTTAAAACATGGGGAGAAAAAAAAAATTCAATCACAGGAAAAAAGTTCGTTATATAGAAAATGCACTTCGCTATTGGGAGGTTATTATACGAAAAAAATCGTGAAATGTTCTTGGTTCCAGGAAAAAGTTCGCTATGCAGAAAAATTCGCAATGTAGAGGTTCGTTATATGAAGGTTCGACTGTATTTTTTTTATAAATGAGCCTTTTTTGCCCTGTTTTGGAAAAGGAACAAGAAATAACATTCTCCTTCAAACATCTCGCTTTGTGGTCAAATATATTAAAATAATTTAATTTTAACACAGATGTATTCGACAATATCTGAATCTCTCTCTCAAAAGGTATTAATTTCTTAATGTGGCTACAAAATAAAATAATCGATATTGCAAAAAAATCACCATTATTATATTAAATTGGAAATATTTACAACCAGAAATTGATATTACGATTCTGCAAATAATAACTAACGAATTGTAATGGTTTATCGAAAGTTTTTATTTTATGAGATTTCTTTATGGCATAAGCAATCTGATCACACATATACAACAAATGGCTGTGAAGAGTTTTACGACATACTAACTAATGAAAAAAAGGTACTTCTAAAAACTTTCACATATTTCAAACCAAAAACAGAAACTACAGCTTTGAGAGGGGACTCACAAGCGATCATTATTGATTTGACGGATTTTAACTGAGAAATCTGTGTCTTTATGAAACCTCTTTCCAAGAGCTTAAAATTCTGGTAACCCATTTTTATACTGACCTCAAATTTATTCTTTTGTGAATTAAGCTACCGCATTATTTTTCCCCATTAAATTAAATTGTTTAGGAAAATTTTTGTGAGATATGTTTTTTTCATTGTTTTGAAACAATGAGAAGAATAAGGAAATTTTATACATTCTTTTGTGATCGTAATTAACCATCAGGAAATTGCGTACATTTTTGTGCTTTAATCATTGAACAAAACTGAATACAATTAGCTATAATGCTAATCACTCATATAGTATTTATATCAATTTCTTTAATGACTACATTTTCTTTCTCTGTCATTCTTTATGCAGTTTTCTACTCTACTAGAATTCAAAATAAATGATTTTTCTTTCAATTTGGAATACGCGATAAATGTAAATTATGCATTAGTTTTGATTCAGAAATATACAACAAATTTCCTTTACTTGGTTGTGTGTTTTTATCCTGGGATACATATAAAAGAGTGGAAGAACAGAAACATGCAATACAAACAGAATATATAGACATTTATTACACCAGTGCTTCTCAAACTTTCAATATTTGCGACCCAATTTTGAAACAATTTTCATCCCGTTCCCTTCCTTACAATAACAGTGTATTAAATTCAGAAAAAAAATGTACTTTGAACGCTAAAGCTACAATGTGACTTTAACCTTTTAAGTGCCACTGGCGTGTATAAATGTCTCGTTCACCCAAAGCGTTGATTGTTCCAGACGTATATATACGTCTTTTCGAAGTACAAACTTTTCTGTGTATTTCTATTCATTAAATTATTCTGAAGGCCTTGGAATGCAACAAAAGGACCTTGGCAGTGTTTGCGCGCGAAGGATTTACTTATTTCAGAGAAAAAATTTTTACTAATTTATTCCTTTATTTCCTTACTTGGGATTCGAATCCGAGTTCACTCGGTTACAAGCCGAGAGTCATATCCACCATACTGGCGGGGAGGTATTTCCCTTAATTTCCTCTTAAGTTTAAAAGAAATCAATATAAAGAAACGAATGAGAAAGATTACGCGAAATTGTGGTATTTAGACAACATTTCTCTCCTACACACTTTTTAAAGCGCTATTTACAATTAGTTTGGATTCAAAACTAAAAAAAGCCTATAAAATCATTAACCTTTCTAAAATAAGGACCTCTTTATATTTATTCATTATTTAAAAGAAGAAAGTTGCCGATAACTTTTTAAGGGGGCACACTACGATTCAATTGACAAATATCAGTCAAAATATCAAAATGTTTTAGCCTAAATTATTTTTCTATATTTTTTCCTATACTCTAACAAAAGTTAGATATTATAACTCTGTTTTTATTTTCAACTTAGAACAATCACTTATGTTTTTTTTATTTGCATTCCAATAGAGCAAATAAAAGCTTTAAGTGGACACAGTACAAAATTGACGAAAATCAGTCAAAAAATCAAACCTAATTTCTTTTAAGTATTAATTATTTTTTATATATTTTTCTACAAACTCATAAAATTTGAATGCTCTAAGTTTAAAAAAAAGCAGAGTTATGATAACGTTTAAGTTTGCTTTTATTCACATTCCAGTGGCACACACACACACAAATCAAACTTTATACTGACTAATCTCAGAAAGGTAAAATAACTAGTTTGTCTACATTTAAAATGCCAAGGCTTTTTTTATATTGTGCTTAATACTTAGAAAATTTTTCACTCGTTGCTAATAGTACATGGAACAAATGTTGGTATGCATTTTTCAATCAAAACATTACTTATTTCTTAAAAAATAATTGAAGTTAGAGTTACACATTTTTTAAGGAATTTTCAATAAGCATTCATAGAAAGAAGTATTGTACTAATACCAATCATGTTATCATAAAACCCATACCAACTTTTGTTATTCATAGTGTAATGTACGTGTATATCAAATTTCTTATATGTTCGTCAATTTTTGTAGGAGGAGTAGCATTTTAAAATCACTTCATAAGTTTCAAGTTTTTCCCTTAAAAATTAAATGGTTAGAATTTTATAAATTTTGAATACAAAATCTGTTTTACACCATACATACACAAAGGAGGCAACCAAAAAATTATGAAAATCATTAAATTAAAAAATCGTAAATAGTAAAGAATTAAATTGTACCATGTGTCCTTTTAAACTGATTTACCTCAGAAAAAAAAATCACTAGTTTTTCTGCATTTCAGATGCTAAGGTCGTTTTTCTTTATTGTGCCAAATACTTTAATATCTTTTCCATCTGTCGCTATTAATATATGTAACAAATTTTGGTATGCATTTTTGAATCAAATCACTAATTACTTTTTAAAAAATAATTGAATTAAAATTTTTTACATTTTTTGAAGGAATTTTCAATATTTATAAAAAAAAAAGTACCGGGTGTTTCTAAAAGAATATCGGAGTTTTAACGCTTTATATAGTATTCATTACATATAACATATTAGTAGCAGTCTTACATCGAATAAAAGAGCAACTGAAGTAGTTTTGTTTGCTGGTATTTGTGCGCGAAACGTATGCAAAATTTCCCCTTTCTTTCCGATCAACTCACTAATAGCAAAATGGCGACTAGTAAACAGAAAGCGTTTTGTGTTCTTCAGTTTGCAAAGACAGAATCTGCTATTACAACTATGGATATTTCCTCAATTGGAAGAAAATGAACCAAATAACTTCATTTGGCAGCAAAATGGTGCACCGCCTCACTGCCATTTCTCAGTACACGATTAGTTAAATATTATTGTACCCAACCTATGTATTGGCCGCAAAGAGCCTTCCGACAAAGCTTTTATTGCATGGCCTCCACGTTTACCCGATCTGACGCCAAGTGAATTTTATCTGTGGGTGTTCATAAAGGATTATGTACGTTCCTCCGCTACCAGCTGACCTTTCAGACTTAAGGTACACGATGGAAGCAGATGTCGCAAGATTTTCCTCAGACACACTGGAAAAAGTTTGGGATGAACTCGCCTATCGACTTCATTTGTGCCATGTGACGAATGGGGCTCACATTGAACACTTGTAAACTTGTAGATAAAACTGTTTCAGTTACTCTTTCATTCTATGTATGAATTATACTTGTAACTTATATGTGATAAATAACTATAAAGCGTTAAAACTCCGATATTCTTTTAGAAACACCTGGTATTTTACTAATATTAATCATTTATCACAAAATCCTTACCAACTTATATTATACATATATAGTTCGACGTACTACTTATAAAAATTTCGCGGTGTATGCTAATTATTGTTTGAGAAAAAGCATTTTAAAATCATTTCATGAATTTTTAATTTTTTCCTTAAAAAAGTAAATTGTCAACTTTTTATAGCATTTTAAGCACAAACATTGTTTCAAATAATACATATACATAGGGATCAAAGGAAAAACTTAGTGAAAATCATTAAATCAAAGATTTTTTTTTTATAAATCGTACCCTGTCTCTTCTTAAACATACCCTCTGTAGTTTCATCTTTTAGTTTTCGCATAAGAAATATGTGTATGCACCGCTTTTTGAAACACAATCCCTAAAAATAATTTTTTAATGTTTAGAAATATGTATCAAAAGCCTGAAGCATTCCAGAGAAGGATATTTTTAGAACTTCTATAGCAAGGAGAAAAAATGTTATCTGCAGGAATGTGTTGATTCTAAATAGATTGAAGAATGATATAAAATTTCTTTCGAGAAAATATCTAGAAGGGATGTAATCTCAGTTTATTGCAATATTTTATTTCGAATTTTATCAAGAATGAAAATTTTTAATAAAAAGAAAGTATATTCCTTTAAAGCTTTTTTACATTTTCTCACTCTTCTTTTTAGCATAAATCATTCCTTGGAATGTTAATCTATTTCAATCTCAGCATTTTATTACAGATAATACACATTGGAAGGAACGAAAAGTCAATCTTCAGATAGGCTTTCGAATAGTTTTAATACATTGCACGCTCTCCTCCTACAAGAGAGTGAGTGGATAGGCATGTAATAGCAGAAGTTATACTTTCATGATTCTTCTGTATTTTTTTGCATGAACTCTTTCATGGGAAATCTCTCTCGGTTACAGTTTTAGATATTAAATCAATAATAATTGAAAAGAAATGAAAAAAATATTTTAATAACAATGTACAAAGTTAAAAAGAGGAAAGTTAAAAAGGATATTGTGGTCATGTAAGAAGTCAATAATCCATTTGTAAAACTTTAAAACCATATTAGAGAACAAGGTTCAAGCTTGGTTCAAAATTTTCATAGGTTCATAACAGGTATAACTAGGTTCAAGATGTTCAAAAGTTTTGAACATCTTGCACCTGGTTATCTCTTTTCAGTTTTAAATATGATTAATGAAAATTAATAAATTACCCGATTTGTTTTGATTTTTTATAATTAACGTCTCTCTGTCATTACTATCAGGCGTGCACATTGAGACACCTGATGGTACATTTGACATTAAAATTAGTGATAATAACTGCTGTTCTGTTTTTAGGTCTGAACTCTTATTGTAATTTATGAAGGATTTCACAAAGCCTAAATATTCTGGATTTGTGGTTCGACTTTCTTCTAGACACTCTATATATTTTCAATGTTTTCCCTTCCCATATTGGATTGAATAGTAACGAGATAGCTGATAGTTTGTCCAAGTCTTCCACACTGCTGACACCTCTTGTGGGGTAACACTCGCTTAACTTTTGCCGAACTCTCCTCCATTAAGGTATTCGACTACTTGCGATAACTTTTTTTTAAAAAAAATGGCAATATGGAGATTTTTTTGAAGTTATACTTCTTTTGGGGCGTTAGAGAAATAGGATGAGGGTAAATGTTTAGAATGCGCGCGCAACTCGTCACGGATGTGAAGCACATCATCACGAATGCGAAAATCCTTTGTCTAGAAATATACGGAACCGGACAAATCATTCCCGCCTTCGAAATTCTCAGAAAAATATTTCTCTTTACTTCCCTGAAGAAGGGGACACCGGGTTTGAACCGGAGACCTCTCGTTCTGCAGCCGAATGCTCTACCACTGAGCTATACACCCACGTCAGCGAACCTTTGATTTGTGTTCCGTAGGAACGTATACGAAAATGCTTTGTCTAGAAATATACAGAACGGGACAGATCATTGACGCCTTCGAAATTCTCAAAAAAATTATTTTTCTACACTTCCCTGAAAATGGGGGCACCCGGGTTTGAACCGGGGACCTCCTGATCTGCAGTCGAATGCTCTACCACTGAGCTATACACCCGGTGTCATAGAGCCTTTGCTTTGCGTTAGGAACGGATACGAAAATGCTTTGTCTAGAAATATACAGAATGGGACAGATCATTTCCGCCTTCAAAATCCTCAAAAAAATTTGTTGTCTTCACTTCCTTGAAGAAGAAGACTCCCGGGTTTGAACCGGAGACCACTCGATCTGCAGTCGAATGCTCTATTCCTGAGCTATCCCTTCGCGTCAGCGAACCTTTGCCTTGCTTTTGTAGGAACGGATACGAAAATGCTTTGTCTAGAAATATGCAGAATGGGACAGATCATTCCTGCCTTCAACCCCTTCCCCATATTATTGGTCCTATTGTCCCTGTGCGGGGGTGCTTAAATTTATTTAAATCGTGATTATCTCAGGTTTGGCTGGTCCGATGGACTGAAGGTTAGTATCGTTCAACTCTGCTCGTGACTACCTTTCGTTCTTCACCCAGCTTGCCCTGCTAAAGATTTTCAGAAAGATTTTAATCTTGTTACGCCAAAGAAGTATAACTTCTTACGTGCGTACTTAAGTACACAGACTTTTTTTTTGTGATTTTAGAGATTTATTTGGTAAATTTTAAGGAAAAAAATGCTAAAATAAAGAAGAGAAAAATAAATTATTCCAACTAAAATGGGTAAAAATTGACAACAAATGACATAAACGTGGCCCGCTCTGAACAAGTAGTAATTGAACAAATTCTCAATTTTAAAATTTTGATGTATTGCTTTGGTTTTCTT